CCCTATGGTCCGAGGTTCGAGGCGGCTTTGCTGTTGTCCGGTTAGGAACCACCAACGTAGCGGGGCCTTTTGTGGTTCGCCACCCCCAAGTCCTCGGGTCGTGGGTTGCCGGTTTCCATCACTGAACAGCGGGTGCTTGTGACTTGTTTTCCCCCTTTGTTCATCACACTAAGTATTAACAAGAGAAGCCATGAGAGTACGAGAACCCCAATCAGGAGGCTTCCTAGCTCATTGTAATCGTCAGTTAGAGCAATATGGTTAGGCCGTAAACTGTCGCTCGTGCTTCTAAGCCACGTCCTTGCAACTCGGTCTCCATTCATTCTGTTTTCCCTGGTTTGTACACTCTGGGCTTACCTTAACTCCATCCAAGGGGGTAACCAAGAGAAAGCAAACGAAACCACCACACCTAAGCGCATGTTTAGTGATTTCTTTGCGCAAACAGTGACAGTTTGATTAAACTGCTGCTGGCGGGAGCAGCTGTCAGACTTGTGGAACTGGGGAGTTTCGAACCAGGTGAATAAAGTAAACTGCCAGAAGAGCCTAACGAATGTTGTCCTCGATTACTAATAAACGAAGACAAATCTCGGATTGCTGCTTATCGTGTAATGGAAATAACGGTCTCCCTAAGTCGTCAGTCGCCTTCATACTTCGCTTCCGTAGTTTCAACGTTCGCTGATGAAATTTTAAAACCGCAGGGTTCCTACTGTTTGCGCAGTCGCTCAAGGTGCAGAGGCAATAATTAAAAGAAGAGTGTAGTTTCGGCCATAATGTAAAAACTGCAGCTGGTGGAAAGTAGAATCGGTTGAGTGATGGATAACCGTAAAAACTAACTGTGGCAAGGTTTCGGCCATGAAGAGAATACTTGGTTAGCTGAAGGCGGGTGATGTAAAAGTAAGTTGTGAACTAAAGTCATTACGGAGGAATTTATCTAGATAACCGATTTTGCAATTCAGGTCGCAGATGATAATTACTGCGGTTTGCAAGCATTGAATGTACTTGTGTCTGGATCCTGTCAAACGTTTTTCGTGTGATGTGATAGAACCAACTCGGTCCCGTAATTGATAGTGCTAAACTGCGAGGTTTCAACGGGTTGGTCGTGGTGTTGCTTCGATGGAGATCCCAGCTTTACCATGAGAGGTCTAAATGGTAATTCATCATGCGCTTTCTATGCTGCTGATTCACGTCGGTTTCAGTTGCTGTCGCTTTGAGGATTGCGTGTTTTTCTTCATGCTAATCTGGTGCTGTTGAGGTGTTCAATGTGGGCCTTCTCACAGACGACCTCTATTGTGGTATATAGAACGAGTCTTGACAGTAATTAGTGCTGCCACCCTTAGGTCAGTCATGATAATATTAGTGCACGTGTACACGCGAAGTTTCAGCCAATATAAGAACCCACTTACCATCTTCAGCTGTTCTACGCGCTCAGTGAACAGGACTCATGCGTCCTCTCAGGGATCGCAAGTTGATCAGGAAATTATTGCTACTGCATGGAGGCTCAGACACACGGTAACTGCGGCAATTGATGAAACCAGACTGCACTCTGTTGTACGTCCTACATGACCTTTCTTTCCTCATGATGGAGTTCCCTTGTGTGTTCTTGTGTTCCTGAACATCTTTCGCGAAAGAGTAACTTTGCGTTAAATCACACCTTGTTCGTTCCGGAGGGCGACGTAATACGCCTCCAAAAGTTTTGGCACGTTTCAGGTCGAGAAAATAATATGGACGTTCGACGGTGGTGCACTGATTTAGTCGCTGTCACTGGCGTGCTTTGGACCCTGTGGTCCGAGGTTCGAGCT